AGCAATGCGAATGCGAATGCGAATGCGAATTGTTGTATAATATTTATGCTTTGTGTTTTTGATTCACCCAAATATGAGTGTGTGTGTGTGTTTGGGGGCGTAATGTAAATGGCATGTTCAGCTAAAAAGTGTGCTATGGAAATTTTATTATATTTTTCTTATGCACTCGACCTCTGCTTTGTTACGAAACAAAATATTTTTATTTCAATTTTAAATTGGAAATTGAATTTTGCTAAAAATATATATCTAGTAAATTGAACAAATTTTTAAGTTAAATAAAAAAGTGAGAAATATTAGAAAATGGAGTAAATTTGTTGTCTGTAAAAACCAAAAAAAAAAAACTTCAATTAAAATAAAAAATATTGATATCAGCTAGTTAACAGTTAGTGTGCAAATAATTGGCAGTAAAACTGCAATTGAGCTGTGTCAATTGCTGCTTAGCAGAAATATGAATATCTCAATGGATTTCTGTATAATCGTTTTCAATTAAGTAACAAATCAAAACTTCGATTATTTATGGGCACTTCAAAGGCGCTCGACTGGCATCAAAGTGTACTTACTCGATTTGTATTCCCTTTATCAGCTGCAGCGCTCTGGACCAGGCTTGAGCTCACTTTTCGCTATTTGGCAGCTGCTCGGAGCACTTTGACTGCGGCTATGTCAATAAAGGAGCGTTGAGCTATTTACAAAGCATTAAATTGTAATTTTTTTTAATTACACACAAAAGATTTAATGGCTGCTGCGGTAATAATATACAACAGACGTTGCCAGCGAGAGTAGCCAACGGACAGACACACACAGACACACACACGCCCGCCCGTATTACTGGCAACTGATTAAAAAGCATAGCGCGGAAAAGTATGCAACGCTTAATTACATAAACGGCTGCGCCTGAAGCTGCATGAGGAGCCGAACATGAAGCACGGCGGTAGCCAGCCAACGGTCTGGTTCCGCTTATCCCAGATATGACACACTCAATATAAAGGCAGACAGAGAGAGAGAGAGATAGACAGCATAGAGGCTATGGGAGCGAGCGAGAGGGCAAGAGCAAGTCAGATAGCTGCGCTCAAGCTGGCGTGCAAAATCGAGATAATAAGAAAATGAAGAAAATTAAATTGTTTTTCTTCTTCTTTTTTCGTTGTGTCCAAGCGCCAAGTGACCAATTAAAGTGAACTGCTAAAAGTCTTCGAGTCACTCACTCACTGGCCACCCGTCCCACTGTCCAGCCAGCGGCATGTACCGCAAAATGTCTTCCTTTTGCCCGCTGAGATTCAGCTGACAGTAAGGCACAGCTCCTTGTCCTTGCTCCTGTCTGTTTGCTTAGCTATAAAATCTTTCTCAGATTTCTAATGATGCTCGGCAACGTGGCCATAGTTATGTGGCCCGCGCGCTCTGAAAGAGCAAACTAAATTAGCGCCGCGAGCCTCTCCAGCAACAGTCAACAGTTGCCCCCGAGTCGTAAATATAAGTTGGCCCGAACTAATATGCCAGCGCGTTTATGTGGCCCACAAATCTTGAGCAAAGTAAATGCGCGCCCCTCACATTGGAAATGGAAAATGCCAGCTACCGCTTCGGAACTCTTGCCTCCACACCTTTGACTGTGCGCTGGCTGTTGTGACTTCAGAGCTTCATTGTTACATACCCTGTAAAAGAGAAGACGAATTGTTGGAGCTGATAATATATAAATTTCTCATTTAATTGAAAAACAATACAAAATAGAATAAAAATATTTAAAAAAAAAAAAATTTTAACTAAAGATTTCTTGCTTCATTTAAGAATTGTTTAAAATAATTTTTAATTATATTATATATCTTCTTAATAAACTTTAAAGACATTAATAATTCTATACTCAAATTTCTTTTTATACTTTTAGAAACTTTTATATTCCGCTGTATTTCATTTAATTTATTTAATATTTAATACTTAATAAATGATCAAAAAGTTATATGTAGTTATTGAAATAATTTATTAATTTAAAACAAAATTTAAAATTACTTTGTTTCATTGTTAAAAAAATCGATTTTCTAGTTTTATTTTTTCTTATATAATTTTATTTTGCATTTTAGAATTTCGAAATTCTTGCTTGAAATAATTATTTGAGATTTAATTTTAACAAACTTCTTTTACGTGGTATTCTGCAGTCTATATCTCTTCTGTAATTCACTTTTGCCTTTCTTGTTTTATCGTATGTTTGCTGTTTGTTGCCAACACACTAATTACCGCAATTAATTATGCTGCCTGCTGAACAAGTTCTCTACCTCTTTCTGTCTCCCTCTCTCTTTCTCTCTTCTCTTTCACTCTCCACATTTTCTGCATTTTCTCTCTGCATTGAGAGCAGAACTTTTAGCTGCTATTTTTGTTGGGTTGGCTTAAATTTTGACTGAAAGTTGGGCCTAAGCTCATAGTGTTTCGGGCGTGTCTGTGTGTGTGTGTGCATCATTGAGCTTATGTGTGTGTGGGCTTCAACATTCCTTGTTGCACAATTTAATCAGCCCTTATTCAAAGACTTTTCGAACGTGGAATGCGCTTCTGTTGTTTGCACAAAGTGCATATCAAATGCATTGCGCGGCATTTAATTAATTTAGTGAGTGGAGAAAACTTTTAAGAACGTTAGTTTCCATGAATATTTGTGTAAATAACTAACGATGCCTTAGCAAATACTTCAATCCAATAATGTATTAATATATGTTTGTATATCAATACGTATGTTTGTTTCTTTACATAAAGAAACGCTAGATTATCATCTTAAAGACCACAGACGAAACTCATCCAGTCTGCGGCTCTCATAACATATCTCCGTCTCTCTCTCTTTCTCTCTCTCTCTCTCTCTCTCTCTCTCTCTCTCTCTCTCTCGCCCGCTTTTTCTTTACAGCTTTTTAATCTTACCAACACTTTGCCGTTTTTCTCTTTTTAACGGCAGTGAACTGCAAATCCGAGCCAAAAATGAAAAGTCAGTTGCAAATAAATTGATATCAGCTTGTAGCCCAAAATTTAAAATGCTATGTGATAGACACACACACAAACACATGTGCATGTTGACTATCGTCGAACCGTATAAACAAAGAGTGAAACAAAAATCCAGCGCTGACACAAAAATAGCATTGGCTTAATAAACTCGAACAAGAACCGAAATGGCAGCTGCAGTTTCCAATGTTGGCGAGAGAGACTTTATGCGGCCAGGCTAGGGAAAAACAAAAACAAAAAAAAACGTAAAGGCAATAGCAGTGAGAGTGATGTGAGAGGCAGTGATAGACTCGAAGATATGCTATATGGGAATGAGAAGAAATAAATAGATGAATGGATGGATCCTCTCAAGAGCAAGAAAATAGAGGATATTCAAGGCTGAGAGGAAAGAGATATACTATTTTTGTTGAGCATACTTAAGCAGATATTTTAGCTGTCAATATATATTAATTTTTAAATAATGTATTAATAATTATTAATCTATCATATAAGCCTAACAGGCCTCCTAGCTAAATACGCATTCAGCTTTCCAGCTTTCATTACACCCCTTGTAAGCTTTACAAAATTTACAGGGTATTCAACAAAAGCAAGCGCCATCGATTTAGGCTAAAAGCGTGCAGCTTCGCTAACGCCATTTAGCCGGAAAAAAATAAACAAATGGAGAAGAGTCAGAGTTTTATTCTCGTATAGCAACTCGTTTGGCCTTAAAGAGATTTTTTGCGTTTGTTTAAATGAGAGTTGCGAAATGCGTCCCAGCTGGCTTGGCACTGACATGGGCTCATTATACGCGTGGCCTTTGACAGCTGAATGTGGACTGTAGAGTGTTGAGCGATGTGCGCCCGGCTCAACAAATGGCTGCCACATTTTGTGGCACGAACGCAATAGCAAGCCAATGCAAAACAATTACACAAATGTCAGCCAGCAGCAGCTGCAGCTGCTGCTCCTGCTCCTGTTCCTGCTGCAGCTCCTGCTGCTACTTCTGCTGGTGCTTCTGCTGCTGCTGATGTCCTGATGGTAATAGCAAATGCAAATGCCCGATGCTTGATGCTTGATGCTATTATGACGCACAAATAGAATTGTGTACAGCGAAAAATAGTATTTAACGCGCGGTTTGGCAATAAATGTCAGCCGGGGCCAAGGCCCGCAATATGCCGGCTGCCATTGTCATTTTTCGCATTCTCATTCACGTCCGCATCCCCATCCGCATTTGCGCTATTTGCCATTCATCTGATTTATGTGGCTGTCAATGCGACCCCAGGAGTTTACCATCAGTCGATGCTAGTTACAGAACCAGAACCCACTGCAGTGCCATCCGCTCTCCCTCTCCTTCTCTATCCCCCTCCCTCTCTTTCTCTCTACCGTCTGGCCGCAGTTGGCACATGGCTACGGCAAACGTGGCTGATTGACAAACCTCTATTTGCCAAAATGAACCGTTTGACATGCGGTTTGACGGCTCTTCTGGCCACAGCGGTTGCCTCGGTTCTGGCCCACTGCACCAGCTGCTGCTGCGCTGCCGCTACTGCTGCCGCTGCTGCTGGCTAAAAATTGCTTTTGTGCCAGGCGCAAACAATTTGCTTTGATTGCAATTCCAAAGCTTTGTATCGCCCACATGCGCATCAAGAGTCACGTCAGACCCCCAAAAATCTGTTTTCATAGCAAATAAGATGGTCAACAGCATTCAAAACTGTCGAAACTTTTGATAATTTCTGCCTGAATTAATATTTGATTTTGCTCGGCTTTGAATGCGATGGGAGAAACGAATAAACTCTTCGAAATAGATTTGAACGATTATGATTGGGGTTCTATTATCAGGCGATAAGGTGATTAGGATTTATTGCTAAATAAAACTCTAAAGCTGCCAGAAGATTCTTTCAATAAAATATTATATAAATTGCTTATGAAAAAAAAAAAAACTTAATAAATAATTGTTACGACTATAAATCAACTTAGTTAATCATAAGAGTTTTATAAGAGTTTTATAAGGAAATCTTTAATAATACCCTGAGTAAATAAATTCCTGATTAAAATTGAATACCATCTGATTAATTTTATTCCATTTGAAAGTCGATGTACATAAGTGAAACACATTAAAATTTGGTAATTTCCAAAGCTTGTGACAGATCGAGCAGCTAGGGACCCTTTAAAATTCAATTTGCTTCGCAGTTATGGGTGAATCGTCGTCATCGTATTCAGAGTGGGAGGAATAGTCCAACTCGGAGGTGACGCGTATGCTGCGCACGGGATACCTGGTCTCCGTGTCCGTTAGCACCATGGAGCTACTGTAGGTGTTGATTCTGCGTATCACATCGGATACGCTTAACCTGGGTTTGCTTCGCTTCAGCCTGGACTTCCGTCTAGAGGTCGTTGAGGTAACTGAGAATGTCTTGGTTACGGACCGGCCGAACTTGGTGACATTGTTGATGGAAAATTTCGGATCGAATCGCACTTCTGGCTGAAATTCATCATCCTCTTCCGTTTGCAGCTCGGACGCTTCAGTCTCAATTGAGCTGAAATCCAAGTCATTGGAGGCATCACCCTGGGCATCAGTTTCGTAGCTATCCGAATCGTACAGCTCACTCTGCACGTCCTCCTCGTACGTTTGCCGTTGGGCATATCCGTCTAATGCATTGCCGCCGGTCAGACGCTGCTCGTGCACGAACTCAAAGTTGATGCCGCCAAAGACAGAGCCATTGGTGTTGATAGTATTGCGCACATCAATCACACAGAACGTGAGTATTTCCTGGAACAGGCCCAGGCTGTTGGCCTCCTTGATGCCAGCATCGGTGACCAGCAGACAGCCCAGCACAGTGCCGCTTCCAATGTCCCGCACGTTCACATGGTAAAGATTGTCCGCCCGCAGCAGAATGGTCAGCGTAATATCCTCGAAGCAGCGCTTGCCCATGATCTTGAACAGCGAGAACTGCATCGTGTTGATGATGGGCAGATCCTTGTTCTTGCAGAACTCGCACAAGCTCGAGGCCTTGCGCTCTAGCGGGATGTCGCCTTTGTTCGTTGTTGTATTCTTCTTCTGACAGTTGTCGGCAGGGCTGGGCTTGGGCTCCTTGGGTAGCTCCTTGGGTGGCTCCTTGAGTGGTTCCTTGGGTGGCTCCTTGGGTGGCTCCTTGGGTGGCTCCTTGAGCAGCGTTTCCTTTGCTGTCTCCAGGCAGATGTACTTATCGGATAGGCCCTTAACACACTCGCAGAGCTGTTTCAACTGATCGTTCATCATGTTCAATTTTTGCTTTTGATCGATTTCCTCTTGGATCTGCTTTTCCAATCTCTTCTCCAGCGCGCATAATTCCTGGGTAATTTCCGGTATCTTCTCGCATTGTTCACAATTGATCTTGTCTGTTTCCGTTTCCTTCGACACAAACCTGACGTTCTTTGTGCATTCCTTGGGCTTTTTGGATGGGATTGAAGTCGGGCTCGGAGTTGAATTTGGGTTTGGATTCGAGCATGGAACCGCATTATCTGGTGGTAAGCTTCTAGTTGAGGGACACTTGGCTATGTCTTTTGGCGCAACTTCGGGAGCTTTCGGGCATTCCTGTGGCATCTTCTTGGGGACCTCCTTCTCTTTGAATAGACAGCACTTGAAACGTGACTTGGAGCTTGATCCTCTTTCGATAGATCGCTTTGAGGGCACGACTATCACCGGCAGCTTGCACTTGCATATGTATTTGTTTTTCACTTTGGTTTTCTTCAGGCTTTTCTCCTGGTCACAGTCGTCTTTTTCTTTTCTCGCCAACTCCTTCGCTGCCGCCGGCTGCTTCTCGTTGCTTAGCTTCTCCGTGCAGGTGGAAAGCGGTGGAGCATTGCATGGACAATTATCGGGCTTCGCTCCGCACGTGGGTACGGGTATGGGAATGAACGACATCGGCGAAGATTCATCAAATGTAGCTAAGCGCCCGCCACTCAAACGGTAACGGTCCTTAGATTTTTTCAGCGATTCATCTGACTCCAAGGCTAAGCAATTTAACCGTTCCGCGCGAATCTTTGCTCTCAGATATCTTTCATAAATACGAGCAGCATCTGCTAGATTACAAGGATACCAATCGAGGTTTATTCATGCTTTTTTGTTCAACTACTTACCCATTATCTCACTTAACTCTAAATTTATTTCTATACCAAATAATTTGAACTCCGACTACTCTCATCTGTCCCAATTTCTAAACTGAGTCCAATTGACAGCTTGACGCCTGCTTTGTAGCAAAATTATAATAATTGAATTTATTCCCATTGCCTGCTGACCACCAGCCGCATGCCCCATGCCCCATGCCCCCAACCCAAGAGCCCAAACCATTTGCTCTTCAAATATTTCCCAATAGCTACTCAAGCCTTTGCCAATTTATGTTTCTGACTGGGGTTGACAGCTCGTAGCTACCTTTTATTTCAAAGCCTACATTCCCAAGTAGATTTAAATTGGCAGCAAGTCCGAAATTCCGACAGCAATAAGCAAACCATTTTGCCTACAAATTGATCGAAAATAGAGGCTTGACAAGCAACTTCAAAAGCCAAGCAAAATAATCTTTAACTGACAATTGTATAATTAATTTCTATTGACTTAGTATAACATTAGAAATTATATTTATCCATGCCAGACATATTTTGTGTAACATTTGATGCAAATTCATTCAAATGTGAAACGGTTAATTACATGACTGAATCTTACAATTTGTAAATTTTAATCTTAATTAAACATATTCTTAGTTTTGGCATAACCATTAAAAGATTTCATAGACGAAAACACATTTGCAAATAAATATTAAATTTAGTTTTATTTATCTTTTGCTCAGTTGGCACACAAAACCACAAAACATTTAAATATTGGCAACACTTTTACTTGAGATACATACATATATTTGTTGTTGAATTATTAAATCCAATTTCTGTTTGCACTAGTTCTATTTTTTTTTTTCTATTTGTATTTGTATTTGAATTTGTTTTGTTTGCTCTTTTATTCTGCTTCAATGGACAGTTTTTGGAATGTTTATTAAACGTTTAGTTGTATTTACGTTTGACTCAGCTTAGATTTCATGCTCATATTGTTTTCGTTAAGCTCAATTGTTTATATTTATTAAAATACGATTTGTAAGAGGATTAGGAAAAGGGTTAGACTGTAAATGTGTAGATTGTATTGTTTAGATTTCCGTGTGGATATGATAGATAAATGCAAGGATTTTTTACACAGATTAAGTCGAGTCTGCGAAAGTGTTTAAGAGATTTGTAAGAGATTTTTGCATGAATAGTTTTTATATAGTTTAGTTTGAAGTGAACTTTTACATTAGTTTTGCAGTTTATACTTTAAGTTATAGTTTTTCTAGTTCTTTAAAAACTAAGCACTAAGCGCCCATCTAAGAGTTATTTTTACTTCTGTTTTGAAAACCTTTGTTATAAATTTTAGCTAATTTGCTGGGCTTGCAGATGAACTGAACGAAACTCTGTATTAACTTAAGCTTAAGAGTGGTTATATTAACAACTTAGACGATTAGTTAGTAGACGTTACATAACACGAGCAGCGATCGGGCAGCAGTCACTGAAGAGGTTAACGTGGCGACGCCTTAAAGCTAGACAAAGCACATGGAATTATTTTTGGGGGAGCGGAGGGGAGGGGAGGCGCACAGCTTTGCAAGCACTCAGTGGCCATGCCGCAGCAGTTGGTGCAGCAGCAAAACATACAGCAGCGGATAGGAATTTGGCAACAATGAGCCGGACGAGACGCGCGGCTCCAGCGACAGAGTCTTGCACTTCTCCACTTTGCTATAGTCACTGAAGCCGGCCAGATTACGCGAGGCAGCGCGTATCAGATAGACGGTATCCGGCTCGAGGTTCGTTATGAGAAAATTGGCACCTGGACAGACACGAAAAGAGAAAAATGAGAATGAGTCAGCGCGTGAAATGGCCAAAATGCTGCTGTTGAATAATGGCAGCGCGCTGATGCAGCTGACACTCACCCTCCTCGTAGGGGAAATCCTTGCGCTTGGCATTCGTCCATTTGCCCGCATCGGCTTTGAATTCCATCTCTGTCATGTACTCAATGCGGAAGCCATTCACGTCCATAGGTCCGAGCTGATCCTTATCCCGCGGCGCGCTCAAATCAACATCAAAAGTGTTCGAGTTGTAGCCGCGCAGCTGGAAGACGGACGGCGGCGGCGGCTTCTCGCCCTCCTCGAGTCGCGTGATGCGCTCGATGCTGCCCAGGTGATTGTGGGCGAGGCAGCGATAGTTGTCAAATACCTTCGCATCCAGCACACGGATAGTCAGACGCGACCAATGGCTATCCGACTCGATGGTGTAGAGCTTCTCGTTGCTCTCCAGGCGCTTCTGCTTGCGGTACCAGCTGAACGTGGCCGGCGGCTCCGCCTGCGCCTCGCACATGATGCTCGCCGTGCCGTTGATGTACGCGTACTGCAGGCCAACATGCGGCTTCTGCGTCCAATGCGGCTTATCTAGATGTATGAAATGAGAGATTCGCGTTTTTAGCTCGAATTCGTCAGGCAATTTCAATTGGCCCTCAGCTGACGCACAAAAGTATGCTACGAATTGTGCAACAACTCATGCGCTTTGCGCATAAATCAAATATGGCCGCCAAGTAAAGTCATTAGCAACATGTGTGCCACGCCCACACGTTATTGAAAGCATAAAACATATGCGAACGAAGCGTATGTAATTTTAAAATATTCTCGTGCTCCAAAAACTATTTGCCGCTAAGCGCGCTGCATACTAAAACGCACACAAGTTTCAGAGGCGCTCGTAAAACTGCTCAAGTAATTTCCCTGCCATTCACTACAAAGGCACAGTGGTCCGATGGGGGAAAAATTGATTATAATAATAATTTTATATATACAGAAATTTTCAAAATTAAAATTGAATCTGAATTTTACAAAATCTTTATTTATAAAAAAAATCCATCATTGATGAATTGAATTGTAATTAAAAATTTAAAATTTTCAATAAATTTTAATAAACCATTTTTATTATAATTTTAATATTTTTTCAAAGCAAATACTTTTATTATTTAAATTATATGAATGAAATTAAACTATTTCAAAGTATAACTATTTAAGTACTATTTCTCAATTGAACATAAAATCTACATTGATACGTTTGTTTCTTCGAAAATTCTCATAGCTTTTAAAATAGTTAAATTAAAAACGTTTTCCCTTTAAAATTTATTTATATAATTCCCGATTAATACTTAATACAAAAAATATATTTGATACCTATATAACTTCAGCTATCTATATTTTTTGCCACCAAACCAATACACTTTATAATATATTTTTACTCTTTTTTTGCCACCGCGCCTTATGTTGCACAAGTTAAAAAACATAAATGCAACAAATATTTCGCTTTTCTTTCTTTTTTATCACACAAATAAAATCAAAATATACATATTTTCCCCTTATATTTTTTATCACCCATTTTCCAAAAGCACAAAGTTATTATATCAACATATTTTCTCATGTTTTATTTTTCCCATCATTTTGCCAACTTTTTGGCCAGTGTGCATTATTATGTTGTATGAGTTGAAAAAAATCATAGATCACACTCACGTTCGATTTTCATCAAAACTGTGCGCTCCTGCATATCGGAAGCAATCGAATTCACTTGGTATGCCCGGCACGTGTACTCGCCGGTGTCACTCTGTGTTACCTTGTTGATGAGCAAACCATCCGCCAGAATGCGAAATTTCGGGGCGTTTGCTGTCGAAAATGAGAGCGAAACATGATAAACGGGTGCAGCGAGAAAACAAAAATACAGAGAATATCGAAAACATAGAAGGAGAGAGAGTGAGATAGAGACAGAGTGTGATAGAGCTGAAAGCTCATTACAGAGCTCTGTCCGACTCCCGACTTCCGACTCACCATCCACAGTAATGGGCTGTCCATTGAAATGCCAGGTGACATTCGGTTGCGGCTCGCCCTTCACCTCGCATAAGATTGTCGCATTTTGACCTTCCTTCACAGTTTTAACTGTATCCTTTTCGGTGAATGTAATTTTCTCTGCAATTTTTTGTTTTTTTTTTTTTTTTGGTTAGTGGTCAACGGAAAACACAATGAAAAATTAATGAATGTGGCTGGCTGTTGGCTTGCCATTGCGATTCCCATTTCGATCCGTGTACTTACGATATACAATCAAATCAAACGATTTACTATGCAGCCCCCCCTCCGCAGCTTCGCACGTCCAATTGCCCTTGTCCGCCAGAGCGATGTGTGCAAAAACGATTTTCAATTGTTCTGTGTGGGAAGTTAAATGAGAAGAGAAACAGATAAGAGTGAATAAAATCAACATTA